ATTCTCAAGAATGAAGTCTTGTCGAGTAACTTGAGTTGTTCGTCGTTGGAAATTCGAGCTGTAAATGCAGAGATAAGTTCAGCCTTGGATGTAAAGTTGAACAGTCCCGCCGAGCGTGTTAAGTACGAAAGAAGCATGAGAAGGAACAATCGTCCAATGAATAAAAGTCACACTGATAACGTGCAATTTTCTTAGATCCCTTGTATCCAAGGTCACGTGCTTGCATTCAACATGGAATGCTTTTAATTCTAGACTGTACAATCTCAAGAGCGTGTCGCTGAGTAATGCGTTGTCGTAAACGGTAAACGTATATTTGTCCTTAATTTCGTATACTGGAATGTAAAAGATTTCGGCGAGTTGTTTATTTCACACTTTGATATCTCATGTGATAACAGGCGTAATCGGACAAATAATGAATGCGCTTCGCATATAATCTCTGTATAATAGAAGATTAACAGCGTACTGAAAGATTCGCTCGATACAAAGCCTTTGAATAAATAGTAACTTATAGAATACAATTATAAAATGCACGTAATTTCATTATTTATATTTTCTACATAAATTCACTTAAAAAATTGGAAAGCTAGTAATAAAATTTTTAGATTTAAATCACTTTTATTGAATGCGATAAAGATTGCGGCCAAGTCTTCCACTTGCAAGATATATCCGCTGACATTTTATTATCGGAAACTTAACTCCGATAATGCAGAGTGTCTTTACGATTTAAAGAACAAATATTATTATTATGTGGTATATTAAAAATTAATTTACCATGGTATATAGCGTTGGCCGATCATAGGGAGGTGCTTATGTCATCGTGAATGCTCAATATTATGAAATCATAACATTTTTTCTTTGTGCATCGTTAAATCGATTTACCTTAGTATCAAGAACATTGTTTTTATAATTAGCATATAAGGGTTGTTAATATGCCTAACAACATTGTTCTTGTACGTAATGTGAAGCCTTGTCTTCCACTATTTGGGTGACAAGAATAGGTTCGTCCTTTGACAGGGAAGCATAAGATCCTCGCTTATTAAAAATCTAATATACGACGATATGCAATCTCGAACCGGAAACTATGCGATATAGTAAATAAGGTCGCTTGTCTCACATAAATTGCTTCACATGTGTTGAACACCATTTGTTTACCTTTATCGACCACAACTGACTATTCCGATTCTTAACATAAGGATAAGTGTCTTTGACTAGGGCTAACCCTAGTTGAAATAAAGTGACACTAATAAAGTTGGGTTGTAAATGGTGTATTTCTTTAAATAGTAAGTCTCGCCTGAATCAAAATCCGAAAATTGCCTTTATTGATCGCTTATGGAGCGAGGCACAAGTCATTGATTTGAAACAAAATAATCACTGTGGAATAATGCTTGCATATCTTGTTATCCTTTACATGAACCAAGTCTCAACGATGGCTGCAGATAAATATCTACGCTCATGTGGGGGGGGTGGAATAGAGAAATCCTACTTATAAATTGCAGGTTTCCCTTTCGCGTCTGAACAACAAACTGCTCACAACTCGAAAGATTTTCGACTACACATGAACTTATCGAACACATTTAAATATCAATTCAACCCAATATATATTTCGTAATCTCGCTGCCCACACCAATTAAAAATGACCCACAATTTTTTACGCAAAAAAGAAATAAAAAATATCAAGAGTCGATATGAAATCTTGCCTATGAGTCAAAAGAAGCGTGAACGTAAAGGGAAGGAAATTTTATACTGGAAGGATGTACCTCCAACTAATGACGTAACTCCAGGGGGCGGTGTATATGCTGCGAAGAATTTACGACTAACGAACAACAACGACATACGGCATACGGAACTATTACCTGAGGGGCCGAATATTTTTGATGACAGTGATAATAGGTGTACTTGCAAGGCCCCCGAAATTGATATATCACGCAATGGGAATGTAAATAATGAAAATAAGCACAATACGTTCGGACAATTTGATAATCTTGATCCATTATTTGATTTTATTTTGTATGATGGTTATACGGAGTATGACATACTTTTTTTATAACGTACTTTGCAAATAATATTATCGACATTCATTCATTTATTACTGTGTTTGACGTTGTTTATTCAGTATACACGTATTTTAACATTGATTAGTCTTATGGAAACTTTGGAATTAAATGCGATTTTTTAATCAAACAGATATATAACATATACTCGACTAATGTAAAAAAAAGAATATTCATGTGGACATAGTGACGCTAACATATCATTGATACTTACCCTACAATAAAAAATTGCGCCATATGAAGAAAAGTCGTACAGATGAGTGTCAATATTATTTAATTATTATTATTAAGCATTCACTTATTATTATTCAGTTATTCGTTAATTAATAAGCACATCCATCACGATCATGCACTGGGCATAGTCTCACAATGTCTCGAGATCGGAGTTCTAATTCGGAGTTACATTGTTATTATCGAGAAACGAGTCTTTGCACAAAGACGGCTTATTGTGGAAATGGCTATGTGTGTGGGTTATATGATTGATCTAAAGATTGTAATGGAAATATTGTATGATAAGATTTAATTTTTCTTGTGTATTTGTGGTTGACATATTAATGATTGGGTAATTTTATTAACCAAAGCGCTTGTTGTTTCATAAATGTAGTGAATATATGCTGACAATGATACTACGCGCTTAGGAAAGTTGCAATTATTTGAGATTGTTAAGTTAAAAACTTGACAAAAGGCAATGCAAACTACCCTGATTGGAGTGAATAGCGCCAAAATACGCGTGGAACAAAGATGACTGGCGAAGCAATGATGATACAACTAACCATTATAATTAGGAATTCCAATTAAAAAGTCTGATTTAAGACGAATGGACACTGGAAGAGCAAGGAAAAGGGATGTATGGATGGAGGATGGAGGTTTCATCAAATATATATAATTGCTAGCTCGCAAAGTATGGCTTAAGTAGCGTTGTGACGGGTGTTGAGTTGGAAGCAAGGGAAGATATAGCAAATGATGCGTTATAAAGGCAGTACTGGATTGTAATGCACAGGCGTGCGAAGGGTGGTTGTGGTTACGTATTAACGAAGTACTTTGGATCGAAAATTTTGTAATAGAATTTATAAATTGTACATGAATACTGTTACGGCAAGCTGATCTGATGAATCAGATAAGTTAGTCACATGATAAAATCTTCCTCCGCAGTTAAACAAA